GATTTTACATTGTGCGACAAAACTGATACATTATACAAACTGCGGTAATTTATTTTGTATACATACCTATATATGCTATTTATTATAATCCCTAAATCAGGAGCGTATCCAGAAATGTTTTATTGTGGGGAGGGGGTCCAAAATTTTTATATTATCTGTTCTCTAATTATAATTATAGTTTAACTCAATACCTACAAATTACCTACTGTTAATATACTATAGTATAGTTTATACATTATAGGTATATTATATGATATATAAACTTTGTATATTGAAGATAATGGGAAATTAAAATACACTATATACTATTATTATACTATTTATTATTAAACCGTTGAGTATGTAGAAATTTCAATGTGGGGTTCGGACTAGGGTTGCCAACCGTGCTGCGTGAGGCGGGACGTCCCGTTTCCAGAGTTCAAATAATACGTCCTGCGATGCGTATCCGCGGGACGCTCATTGTCCCGCTTTTTGTAAACCTGTATAAGTATTTTTATATAGAAGCCTTACATTTTTATTGTGCGCATTTAAAACTTTTTTCCGTCCGAAATTCCAACAGAATCGATTGCACGTATAGGTTTAATCAAATATTAGTAGCTTCTATTTATAGATTCACAGTTGTCGAATTGGGAAAAATCAAGTAGAGGAGCTCAGTCCAACGATTCGAAAACTGCGTTCCACGTGCGCAATTATTTAACACAGACCCGTAGGGGGCTTCGTCCCTCACCCCTACTCACCGCCAACCATACATATATATTAAATACCACATTTCAGCTAAACAAATATTTTAATTCTAAATATAATATATTTTGATAGCAATACCAACATCCTACATGATAAAAAATCATTGACAATTTTTGAATTAACAAGAGTTATTCATTTATTTTTTTAAAGTTATAGATAAAATATTATTCTTCGATATTACCATTGATAATAGAGTATTCTTATTCTAAAATTAATAATATTACTAACGAACGTGCACACACGTCACAATAACCACTGAAACAGTTTTTAAAATCCATTAATTAATTGTTAAACTGTTAAAGTACGAATATCTAGAAGATTTGTCTTATTTATCTTAATTGACAATATCTATTTTTAATGTTATATATATTTTCCATTTGCTTAATGTGTATACAAAACTGATGAACTGAAAAGAACTATTATATATATAATAGAGTTTTATTTTTAATCATTTTATGTTGCGACCGAATTCCCAAATTGTTTTTCTTTTTTCGTCCATTATTTATTCTTTCATAGTATTTCCACAAGAAAAATGCACATTAATATAATTTTATGAATAGGAATATCAAAATTATAAATATATGCTCGATAAAATAGAAATATGCACAATCATGCCAAATAAACAAAAAAAACCTCTAAATATGCAAAACTATGCAAAATAAAACTTCACATATTTAATCGTGGTACCTTGAAATAAGTTTTTATGTAATTTAGTATTAAACACAACTTGGCAAGATTTATATGCAAATGCATTAGTTTATGAGCCCTGGTTATTAGCTATAATTGTTCGGGAAATTCGAGATTTGATTCATTTGACAATTCATTTTCAATATCAGAAGTCAACAAGGAATCAGAAAAAATGTCACCAAAATATTCATTACCAGAATTAGTACAATTAACGTTTAAAATCAATGTAAATAATTAACGTCATTGATTCAAAAAGTAGTCTTTCAATTTCTTTTTCAGTAACCTGATAATCAATAAGTTTACAAACTATTAATGTCGAGGCGAACTAGCATTACCAGCAGGACCGGCTCAAGGGGTAGTCGATATAGGCCCACGTCTAGGGCGGCATTTTTCCTGGATAATTTTTATTTATAAAAAAAAATATTTGATAAAATATTTACACGTAAGGGGCGACAAAAACTAAATTTTGTCTATGTTTGTTTAAACACTTAGCCGGGTCTATGGACAGTGTATGGATCATATTGAAGACAAGTTCAATATATTGAAGCAATCAAAATCGTTGATATTTATTGATAGATTGTCAATATTATTGTGTTATTTGTATCACAAAGCAATAGCAATAGCAATAATCGTGTTATCTCCATTAAATATTTTGACCAGAACTGAACAATATATTCAATATTATTGATCGTGTATGTGCAAAAAAAATTGAAACATTTATTGAAGTAAACATTGAGCAATAATATTAATCGTGTATGGGCCGCTTTATCCTATTCCCTATTGGCTATTGCTATTAGTTATATTACCTACCTATTTTACGTATCTTCTACAGTACCACTATTAGAATGACTATAGAATGTAAACATATTGTGCCTGTTGCCTGTGTTATAATTTATAACCATTTATAACATCGTACTCTATGGTATTCACTTCATATACTAAAACATGTTGTGATGTTTCCTAACTTAAGGATACCTCACCCTTAATATACCGGGTTCAATTGAACTGCCTTGACCCCCCCCTTGGGTGCCACTGCAAATATATTATTAATTATAATTATTTACGATGGATGTCTCCTTCGTACGGACTGAATTCGATGGTGGTCATCAAACAAATGATAAACAGCGCATTAAAATAAAATATACCTAGCTAATAATTAATAACTAGGCTTAGGGACTTATAGCATTTGTATAATTTTTTTAATTATTGTTAAATATAGCAGAGCGCGGAATAAATTCGTTTTTCGGTGCCATGATATCAGATCTAAAATTTGAATTTGAATATTTTTGCATATTTGATAGATTTTTCAGGAGATTGAATATTTTAAAATGTTTAGGATTATTTTGTATATTTTGACAAATTTTTCAAATTTAAAATTAAAAACTTTAGATACGTATAAATATACACACATATTTCAACCGATCGAAAAAAAATGTACTAAGAGGACTTCCAGTAATATGCCATCGGCAAACTACCTCTCATATCTAGTTATTATTATTATTTACTAATTTGTGTTAAAAAAAAACTTGTGATGGCAGACGGACCACAAAAAGCTGTCGCGTCGTCGAGTAAAATAAAATTAAGAAATACTCATGATAGTATCAATCGATATACGGCCATACGGGTGGCGATGTAGTGTTTCGTTGAAGATATTTTTAAAATGGTTCTAAATTCAGGGCTGGCGTTACCTTTTGCGAAGCCTTGGACAAAACTTACTTTACCCATAACAGCATTCATCTATAGCCTGTAGGCCGCAATTAATGGCTATAACATGTAATCAAACTCGGGACAACAGCTGCACGCGATATCGGGTAATGACTGATTAAGTTTAAGAAATGCCATAAAATAAATTTCCCATGTGTCCCTGTACATCCATACTGTGCGGCGTGCCGTACGGGTCGTCGTCTGCCGCGTACATGACATAATATTGTTGTTCTGTTAATTTTTATTACACGTCAACGGATCTCTTTAAAAATCGCACTCGCCAGGCGATCCACACATTTCTCGTTTTATTTTATAAGATTTCCGTACAAAATATTTTTCAATGAAAATTTTAAGCGCGAGGCCCTGGACAAATGCCCCGTTTTGCCTACCTCTAACGCCGGCCCTGTCTAAATCTGATAATATAGTACAATTTATGTATATTATTATTGTTGTATTTATATTTATATTGTGTTAGAACCGTTTCACATGAACGATATTTTATCGTGCGATTTATTTATACATTATATTGCTCATTAAATACAACGTCATAAGTAAAAATTAAAAAATTTCTAAAAATATTTTAGATATGTGCTATTCTAGTACCAAGTAAAAACTCAATACCTATAAGTATTATTTAGCGTTCCAGCATTGATTTTATAATATATTATTTATATTTATCTTTTATATTATATACCTATTATATGTTGTAAATGTTATGTTATTGAGCCGAAAGACAAAATCAAAGTGACAAATATACTTTTCGTGTATCATAATGTTATGATATATTTATATGTAATTATGTTATTTTCATTTGTTTGTTTTTATTTTTGAAACAGTATTATAGATTCATTTATATAAATAGTATAGCATTAAATATACCTAAGTATAATAAGAAAGTAATAAATAGTTGGTATAAATTTAAATTATTCGGTCGATTCTGTTGGAAAAAAACAAAATATTTTGTCTTCATCCGGAATCTGTAGTATACGGCCGTGAACGACCGAATTGATCGGATGTATAGTGACCGGTACAATTTTATTTCATACTTTTATTTTTTTCGTCCATATTCGGCCGATGCCGGGTCTAGTCTTTTAAAATTTTAATAGTAGACCTGCATACCGCCGATCGGTCGGTTATTATTTATATTTGTCAGGAATTAATTTGCATACGCGCGTGCATTGACGGAGATATTAAATTATGATAAAATGTTTTCATCTTAAAAAAAGTGGTTTATAGACCTAAAAGCCACACAAAACTGATGGAATTTGGCTTGGCGGATTTAATTTTTAATACCAATTTATTATTGATTATCAAATTTGTTAGGTTAAATAAAGTTAGAGCCGATTTTGAATTTTTTCAACTGTTTTGTCAATGAATGAAAATAAGATTATATTACTTACAATGACACTAATAATTATTGGAATATTAAAAATCGCCTCTGTTCAAAACTTGTTAATCGTAATCCGTTTTCAAAATTAAAATAAGTCAAATCGAATTCTTCATCGACTACAACCCCCTTATATCGAAAGTACGCAAAAATATGCATGCACTATTACATTTTATTTCTTTATTACTAATGGTTTGAAACGGATTTGTACCTCCATGGTATGTTTTACAATGTAACAAAAAAAAACAAGCAAATGCAACAGCTTACGAGCCCTGGTAACAATGTACATATAGACATGATTTTTATTTTTCATAGACGTGATACAATTGTATTTAATATTAAATTATTTTTATCTAAAAAATGTATTGTTCTTGGGATCGCACACGTAGGCGCGTTTATGGCGGGTTATCTTTCTATCCCCACTGTCCAATTGGTTCTTTTCTAAAATCGGATATCGTTTGGAGGGCGACGGTTGCCGATAACCGCACTCGGTATCCGATACCACACGAGTTCTCACATGTATTCTTCCCGCTTTATTCCCGTACGTACCGCCGTCCACCTCGCTTTTCACCGCCACATGTTTCGCGTTCATTCATTTATCAGTACCTACGCCTGTTGCAGTTACCGTTTACGATTCAACGTTGCGCATTCTTCTCTTTTTCAGTTTTGCCATTAAATCGATTTACGTTGTACCATAAAATTATTTATTGTTTTTATTACATCACAAAAGTTCGAGACGCAAGAATTCCGTGTACCGTCGTCCAGATTCGTCGTGTCTACAGAAAGGTACGCCAATTATCGATTAATTGACAGTGAACAGTTTGGGTTCGTACTATAGATTAAAATCAATGGAATTGTAATTCATTGTTGTCGGGATATAAGCAAACAAACTTGAGTTGGTATGCTTATATTTTTCCCGACACTTGTTTTTATCGAATTTATACTATAATCTGCAATAAAATGTTGTCATTTGCAATTAGATTAAAACAAATTTGAATTGGTGTGCATTTATATTTCCGGACATTTTTTTTGTTTTTATTGAATCTATACTATAATCTGCAATAAAATGCTGTCGTTTGCTATTAGTTAGGAAGTTACAGACGTTCAAACATCGCGCATTATCTACACTGATAACAATCGTGCGTCTTACTCCAAACCAGAGTAATCTCTATTACCCAAACCACGGCTATAGATAATATAATATTATATAATTTATTATAATTATAATAATATTCACTCGACATGATTTTTGATAAAAAATCGTGGGATATTTTTGGTTTTTAATTTTTAAATATTTAATTTCTATTTAACTCACATATGACTGACATTATGTATTAATATAAGTGCAATATTATGAATACCATGGATAAACGATAAAAATATGATCCGAAATAGATGCTGTAATAAGATTTTGTTGCAGCTGTGCATTGTATCGTTGTTGCGTTACAGGCGACTTATAAACGACTACGACTTGATGTAATTATCATAATTTGCAAATTTATAATCGTTATGATAATTACTAATGGTTCAGTAAAATAAAAGGTGTCTGGAAAAGTATAATCGGTCCCAACAGCTTACATAATTGAATCGATTTCCTGTAGTTTTTTATGACATTGAATTGAATTTCTTATTAGTATTTTTATTTTCAGTGCTTGAAGGTAGTAGAGTTACCAAATACTATACCAATACTATCAATAAAAATATAAAATGGTATAGGTATATATATTGTTGTAATCATTATTTCTTGCTTAATGAATTTTAATGATTGATTATATTTTAGGTATTTCATATTTATCTACAGGCTTGATTTGAGGAAGGAGGACTTGGGAGAACTGATAATTATCCCAATTAAATTGTCAGATGTTCTAGTGTATGTCAATTTTTAAAAAAAGGTTGCATGGGACGGTACTTAATTTTAGTTTAATTTTTACAAAATTATAAAAATGTAATGTTTTTATAAAAAAATAAACCATTTATAGAATGTGTAGGTATACCTAAGTTTTTGTCACAGCGTTACATAATAAATTATGATAATCAAACATCATGGATAATTTTTATTGGCATACACAATCACTTACCTATTGCCATTTACATGGAACACCTTTATTTTAATTTAATTTTGTTATTGGACTTATTTTAGCCTCTATACAAAAAAGATACACTATATTTATATATTGAAGTTATGTTTTAAACTTTGAAAGTGAGTTAGCAACTTATGGATTATTTGTTGGTCTATGGTTACATGTTTAAGGGTGTCATTAGGGATCAAGAAGGTTATATTTAGTTTTTAATTTAATTTTCAGTTTTTATTTTTTTTAGGTAGAAACACAAAATGTGCATGTGTCATCAGAGTATCTTTATTAATTTATTTTTATCCAAGTCAAACATTATTTATTTATATATTTATAAAAACAGATTGTAAACAGTAATAATAATCTATTTATATCTTGATTCTTAAATGTGTAATATCACAATATTTTGTCAGAATATCAATATAATAAAAATTTCTTTTTTTAACTACGTAGTCATTTTATACTAAATTTAGTTTATTAGTTTCGATAGATAGCAAACTCTTTTATTTATTCAATAGATGTTCGATTCAAATGTAGTGAATTACAGAGCATAATATAAGTAATAAATATATTTTATACTATAAAATTGATTATGGCTTACATAAATGAAAATTTTCTCTCACTTCATTTGAATTTATTATCCTGTGTGTCAACTAAAAAAAAAAAAATACAGTGGATAGTTTGAAATACCTAGAGTCCATATTTTTATAAAGAGGACGTCACACCAGTATGTGTTGTCTCTGTTGTGTACAATATTGTAAGTTTGTGTTCAGTAGTTCAAATATAGTAATGTTAGTTTTGATATTAGAGTAAACTGATCTATATTATTACTTAAAGGGTTTATCTGTGTTTTGTTAGTTGGTGTTTTCCAATATGTTGATTTCTAAGCAAGTTAAGAATTTTTTTTAAATTTCAATATTTTACAAACTCGTAACTCGTTTAAAAATTAAAATATTGAAGAAAAAAAAAACAACTAACAAAACACAGATAATGTTCTCTTCTTTAAGTTTGATCATAAGTTAGTTTATTCTAATATTAAAGCTAACATCATTACATTGGAATCACTAAACATAAATTTGTCATGTTGTATGTGTATCTGATAGAGACAACTCATATGAGTGTGGCGTACCCTTAATTAGTTAATACAATAAATAAATAAATTTCTGACAATTTTATAGGTGATGATTAACAATAATATTTTAAAAATGTCTTAATTTTTGATTTTTCGCAAAATTATTGCATTTAATAAATTAAATATCAATTTTATGTATTGTACACTTATTATTTTATTATTACAGATTTGATTTTATAAATAATGGCCGACTTTGAAATGAAGACAAAAGTTTCTTCTGAAACTTCTACCTTTTGTAATAATTTATTGGAAAGTGCTGGTTCAACAAATATATCCAACTCTTCTGTTGATAAAGTATCAACTGATTCATTAAGTAATGATCAGAATTCAGCAAAACCAAATTTTATAGAAAATAATGGTTACACAATTGGTGATATTGTTTGGGTTAAACTTGGAAGGTATCCATTTTGGCCTAGTATTGTCTGTATTGACCCAGAATCGAATACTTTTTTTAAATGGTCACTCAGTAAGTCTTTCATTTACATAATTTCAGTCAGTATTTTGTATAAATATTTTAATTTTAATTTTTTTTTCTTTTATATACATATTTTTTTTATTTTTTAATACACTTGTTTGGATGAAGAGGAGATAGTAAATTATTCTTTCAAAGTAGTTGTCCTGCCCAAAAGACAAAACTACTAGTGAATGGGTTAATTCTAGTCTTTGTACGTTTAGATGCTACTGTCTTATTTCACTCAGTCATGCCATTGCTCTTGCAATCTTGTAATAAAATTTAAAACCGTGAAACTTTGATATCAAATAATGCATATACAATAAAATCTCTATAATCTGACAAATATTATACCTGAGGACTGTCAGATTAACAAAAATGCTGAATTAATGGAGATGCTCATAAAAACACATTTTTACTTATTGAAAAACTTCAATTTATTTTATTAAAACTTACAAATAATATATACATACATACTAATTTATGATATACTATGTATACTTGTATGTAATAATATTTTGATGGTACAGGTTTAAAAATATCAATTTGTTTTGTTTTTTGTTTCAAATTATGCTTTTAAGACAACATTTTAAGATCAAATACTGCCAGATTACTGGACATAATACTGGATTATTAAATGACCAAAATACCGAGAGTCTATTGTATTATATTACAAATATTTAATTTCCTTTATGGAATATGCCTACTGGAATCTATTTTATGTTCATTTGTTTGTGTTTAAAAGAATTTGTTTAGCATTTACAAATAACTAAACATGTATCAAAAATTATTTTATTTTAGAGGATAAAAAGAAGTTTTCACTCCATGTCCGATTTTATAATGATAATGGTAGACGAAGTTGGGCAAATATTATTGAAAAATATCGTGGAAAAGAAGATATACTTTCAAAATATCCCAATTGTTTGGCAAGTTTAATATTTTACTATTAATTTTATTTTTTAAATTATTTTAAAATTAAATCTTGTGGATTTTATAAATTGTACTTTAATACTTAAATTAATATAGGGTATAAATAATAAATAATAACTTTTTGTGCTCTATTTCAAAGGTTTTCAATTTTTTTAAATCTGTACCGTTATTAGTTCCCAATATTTTTAAATATCATTTAAAATGAAAAACAAACTTATTTAAATGTTACCATTTTAATATTAAAAGTAATAACAATTTTAATTTAAATTTTTTTAAATATTTCTTTCATTTATTATTTGCTGAAAATTGCTGCTTTAATTTTTTGAATGGTTATCAACTGCAGATTTGCATTGTAGTTAATTTAACACTTGTATATCCAGTATTATGCTGTATATTTCGAGAGCGTAAAATTATTGTTATGACTTAACTACTTTATTAATTTTTTTGTGCTTTAGTTGGATCTGCTGGTTATTAGACCTTGACAATTGTTCACAAAGGCTTAATAATAACTTCCAATATAAATATCGACCAATAATCAAATATTATCTTCAAATGAAGTAGAATAGTTTATATAAGATAAAATAATACTTGCCTGTTATTTTGAATTGATATTACACATATTTTGATGAAATTAATACATTTTTATATCTAATTCACTTGCAACTTACTTTTTAAAACCGTTGTACAAACAGTAAATAGTTTCTTTTATAGTTTTCCAGATTGAAAGTTTATTAATAGGTTAATTATATTTCCAACTGCAACAATTGTTTTAGTAATTCCCCAATACTGATTAAATATTAAATTAACTATATATATATATTTTTTTTGACTCTTAAATTTTTTATTAATCAAACTAGAATTTGAATTTGATTATATTTAATTTATATATACATATATTTATTCCAATTTAATGTTTGAATATTTTATAATTATTTATGTAAATGTTATAGTACTTTATGAAAAACAGTAAAAAACAATTAGATGCATGGAATTTAGCTATTAAAGAAGCTGATAAATGGATTGAAGTTGATAGGTAAAATTGTAAATTTAGATATTTATTAAAAAAAAATATTTAAACAAAAACATATTTTGTTTTAGAGATGAAAGAATGACTCAATTTTGCATTGCACATAATATAGAGACTTTAACTCCTATTTTAAATAAAAAGTCTCTTGAAAATTCTAATGTTGTAAGTTAAATAATAAAAAATTAATTGAAATTAAAATGTTGTTGTCACACTACAAGATGATTTATCTTTAGGTAGAGAAGAATGCCAAAGTTAAGGAAAACCGTTATGAAGTATCTGAAAAATTGGCATTGGCTTTGAGACCAGTTAAAGGAGAGGCTCAAAAAAAGAAATATGTTGCTAAAAATAAGAAGATAACAAAAAAGCAAAAGAAAAGTTTTGATGATCAAGAATCTAATGATGAAACCAACAATTCAGACGAGGAGAATGATACTAATGTACCACTAATACCATTTAATCCAGAACGATCAGTACCTCTTGAACTTAAACGTCGAATAGAGTAAGTTTTATATTTTATATTATCTAATATTGATTTAGCTAAAATCAAAGGTAATTTTTTTCTAAGAATCTTTAAATACTGTGTAAAATTATTAATTTATTTAAATAAAAAAAAGATCTTATCTTATTTGTATCTTAACTAAATAATTTTTTTTTACATTGGTAATGAATAAGATTTTGTTTTTTTTTGTGTAATTTATATATTTATGCTTAAATGTCAAGATTATTAGAATAATCAAATATTAATATAATATAATTAGTAATGAGAATAAAGTAATTATTTTTTTAGATTATTGACTTATTCAAAATTGAAAATATACTTACATTTTTATTTTTTCATTACTGAATTTTTTTGTTAATCATTTAATCTAGAAATACTTTGGATTGTATATTAATATTTAAAAAATGTTTGCATTTTTTAGGAAATTGGAACTTAAAGAAAAGAAATAAGATGAGACTTCTTATCCTTGCTTCAAGTAATTAAATGATTAATGTTGATAAAAATGAACTAAGAATTTATATTGTTTAGAATTAAAAATTGTAAATGAGATGTTTTTTTAATATTATAATAATAGTAAATTTTATAATATAAATATTATAAAGACTGAAGAATACAGAAATACAATTTTATACATTTATACTTCACTGTTTATATTTTTCAAATTTAGCTTCAGTAAATTTGAGTTCACATATGTCTACAATAATATTTCACAGTATTAATCTAAGTACCCCAATTTATGGTTAGAATGGTTACACTCTGCTTTTACAAATACTTTTCGTTAAATATTAAAATTAATTTTAGACAATTCAGAAATTAGCTGCATTTGAAAATATGTTTGGTATATATGATTCAATATATTACACATTTCTTATATATCTTTTCAAAACTGCAACATTAGTTTTTAATCATTAATCTTTTATACTGATAATAGATAATAATAAAAACTGAAAGACTATGTAAATCATTTATATATGAATATTTATTAGAGTAAAATTATCTATTTTTATTATTTTGTTTAATCAAATATTTAAGTTAAAATAACAATTTTTCCATTGATTTTTAATATTTTATTTATTTAATAATCATTTACTAAGTCAACATGATAATTATAAATATTAAATTAACCTTCGGAAATAAATAAATAATTAGTGTACCTGAAATACTTAATTACAAAGCTCGGTAGGCATTCATGACATTCGTTTACAAATATATTTCAAGTCTGAAATACAGATTATTTTCATTAATTTTATGATTTATTTTTATTTCACGTATGGTTTTTTTAGATCATTATTGTATAGACAAGATATTGAGTATCTAAATTATTTCTATGATTTTCTGTTCAGAATCTGGATATTTTCAATGTGTATTGTTTTATATAAATTACTATAAAAAAATTACAAATGGCTCTTTCCTTGAATGACAAATGTCCATTGATATTTTCTTTATAAATGTTAATTAAATTTTTAAATAAGCATTCTTTATGAGTTTTGAACAATTATATTTTAAAAGTATATTTCCTGATAAATTCCAATTTCTTAATTAGATACTTTTATATATATTTCCGAGTTATAACTCAAGATGTAATATGTTATGTAATATATGACAAAAATAACTGACTGTGCAAGACTTGTGACTCTTCAGATAATATAAACAATAGTTTAAAAATTTTGGAAATGCTTCAGAAATTTCAAGGACAAAATTCTCTTATTACACTAGTTACCTTATCAGAAAACAATTTTAATAAATTAAACAAAAACTTATCTGTTTTATTCTATTAACTATCTATTTCTATTAAAATTAATACCATTCTAAACGAAAAGGTTATTACACTCGAAAATAAAATATCAGAGTTAGAATCAAATAATATAGCAGTCAATCACATTACTGAAAATCAAATCATTGACGAAATAATCGACCTTTAATACTGTGCTAAAAATATATCAATCTTTAATTTGACTAAAGACAACGGTAACAAAAGTAATATAGATATAACAAAAATATAATAGCAGCTATGGATTTGGATATAAATCCAGTCAAAGTTTTACGTCTTGGTAGACAATCGAATAAACCCTGCTCATTAAAATTAATCCTACTGGAAGTTTTGGATATTTTTTCAATACTTTTAAACATAAAAAAAATCTGCAAATTCACTCTAATTTTAATTCCATTAGCATTTCTCCAGACATACACCTAAACAGCGTGACCATTTTAACATTCTACAAAAAGAAATTTAAAGGTGAACATGATCTATATATTCAATATATTAAAGGTAATCCAACTATAGTTCAAAACTCAAAAAACTTGTAATTAAGTCCCATTGTTATCCTATATTATCAAAAATTAATATTTACTATCAAAATGTCCACGGTATTAATATTAATTAAATTTGTTACATAGCTCACTTTCTGTATCTGATTTTGATATTTATTTTTACCGAAATATGACTTAACGCAAATGTAAGCGATACTGAGTTAGAATTTATAAATTTTTCGTTTAGATAGAAATAATAATACTAGCCCTTATCTTAGAGTTAATTGTTAACATTAATTGTAGTAAAAAATTCAATATATTCTTCATTATTAAGTATATCAATATTATTCTTAGAACAAATTTTTGTTAATTTACGTTTTAAAAATCAAACATTTATTGTTGGTCCAGTTTATATACCTCCAAATATAGACAAGTCAAATTATAAACTATATATTAATTCTATCGATGAAATTTATCATTATCATCCAGGTTCTAATGTTATTTTGATTTGCAATTTCAATCTTCCTAATATTAAGTGGTCTCGAAATCATAATGATGAAAATATTATAACTCTATTATGTGATTCTAACTCAATAGAATCAACATTTGTTAATGCACTATCATGTCTATATTTTTTACAATTTAATTTTAATTTCAATAATAAGAATAAAATGTTGGACTTAGTGTTTTGTAATTCAGTATATTTAAATTTTTCTGTTATTGATAGCTTACTTTCCCTTGATCCATTTCATTCAGCGCTTAATATCTCATTCGTAATAGATAAATCTAGTAAATTTTACTTTGAAGAAACATTTATAAAATTTTAAAAATGGAAATTAAAATGAAATAAATAATTATTTAAAATCTATTGACTGGTTTTCTGAACTATCTCAATTTAGAATAAACGAAGTAACAAATGAATTTATATAACATTATCTATTAAACTATTAATACACACATCCTTGTACTTATTATTCATCAAAATTTAAAATTTGATTCAGTTATGAACTAAAAAATTGTATTCGACAAAAAAAACAAGTACATTTAAATTCCAAAGGATTCCGTTCAAATAAAGACTTTATTTTTTCCCATTTTCATAGATATTGTAATAATTAAGTAAATTAGATTATAAAAATTATTTAAATGATGTTCAAAACTCAATAAACACTAATAGCAACATTTTTTTGGAAATTTATAAAATCAAAAACTTCTACTAACTATTTATTACAAGAAGTAATTTTGGATGACATTAATGCAAATAATGGCAATGAAATAGTTAATTTATTTGCTAAATATTTTAATAATGTTTATATTAAATCCAGTATACCCTATGGTGATCCTAAAATATTTCCTAATAATTTAACTCATATTAATTATTAATTTATCCTTTAATGATAAATTATCTTCTATTAATAACTTGAAACATTCTTGACAACCCGGCCCTGATGGTTTATCTACTTATTTGATAAAATCATGTATTAATTATATTATTTTTCCAATTCATTATTTAATTTTTCGTTTTTTGCGATTTGTATCATTAAATTGTAATATTTATTGAGCTCCACGTTCATCATATATACATTTACTATATTGTTTAAAGTTAGATTTTCTAGAATTACATCAAAATAAATTAGAATTAATATTTTTGTATAAGGTAATTAATAACCTTATAGATAGTTCTGAACTATTGTCAATGATTAATTTTAAGGTAACTAATTTTAATTTAAGGAATACTGACTTGTTTTACTCATTTTCAACTTTTATTAATTTAATGTCAAGCTCACCAATTAATCAAATATTGATATTAGCAAATAAGTATAATATAGATCAATTTGTTAATAGTTTATATGAATTTAAAAGAAATGTTAATCTAGTAGTTCAATGATTTATTGTTTATTGGTATAATAATATGTTTGTAATTGGACCTATCCGTATGAAATATATAAATAAATATTGTTTACTTGCTTACCACTTGCTATAATTTAGTAAATAGAGTCTATAAAAAATTCACTATCATAATCGTTTTATTTAATAATTAATTATTTTGATTGATATTTAAATACATATTATTAATTTTATTAATATAATATATTAATATATTTATTTCATATTATGATCACAGACTGAAATTATTAAGTGTATAATTCGATTTTTTTTATGTATAATATTAAAATCATTAACTGTTATGTTGCTTATATTTATCATGGTACAAAAAAATATTATCCTTTTGTTGAGATTAGCATACACAAAATGAATTAATTTAAAATTTGGTGACGATATGTAAAATCAGTACTTAAGAACTTAAGTAAATTGTATGTTTGATAAAATGGGTTTAACTGCTATTGTCTAAAAATTACCTTACTCAGTATGTTATCCACGTCCTCTTGTGGATCAAATTTTATAAATTAGTTAACTCTTCGTCAAAAAAAATTTAAATTCTTTTCGCCCATGGTTTCACGGTTGGGAAACATTGTTTCAAGATTAGTATAATAAAGCCATTTAGAATAACCTAAAAATATGTTGTGTCTGTTAAACAATTTAAATTACCTAATTTAAACAACTTATGTACTGGTTAGTATTAGTCATTAATTGCTATAACGTCGTTAATAAAATGTTTATGTTGTGTTTTTTGTGATAACAATATTATCATGCGTTTGTATAGTTTGGTGAAAACCATTTGCGTCCATCACACCTTTTTTATAACTCATTTGCGCCCGAAATATTTTTAATAAAAATATGTTAAACTCGTGCAACGTTGCCAAATTGTATTCTGGAATACAAGCAATATGAGCAATTATAAAGTTAAAACTATTGTACATATGATGGGCATAATCTAGTGAAAATAATCGAGTTACTCGATTATTGATAATAATCGTGATACGGTGCCTGGCCGCCTAATTGTACATATTATTTACCAGTTTAAACTATTTTTAATTTTTACGTTACTCTCTTATCGAATATCGGTCCATTTTATCTTAATTGCACTTCATGACGACTCTCACTTCTCTCTGTGTATGCGTAGTACAACTTTACTCAAACTACAAATTTTTAACTAAAGTATTATACGTGAGTTGCAAGTGTATAAAAATGGATTTTAATATAATAAATACTACTAAAAATCGTGAGTGTTTAATTTTTCGTAACTTTAAATTCCACTTTATTAGAAATTTGGTTTCAAGAAATATAAGTTGGCGTTGCGTTAAAAAAAATTGTGGTGCGTACCTATGTAAGAACGAATTGTTTAAAATCAACACTAATCGATAGACAGTTTCGACTACAGTAAATAAAACTTAGTGTGAATTAATTGTTAGTTATTGTCATATTGACTAATTTTTTTAAATTCAAAATGTTGAAAAAATTATAAAATTTAAGCTATATTATTTAGACAATTATTATTTAAGTACTATAATTTATATAATTATATATTGTATATTTATTATAATTATACTAATCTACTTAATTTAAGTATTTATTAAGATAAAAATAATCTATATTGTAAATCACAATAGCAACGTTGTATGCGAAATGGGTGCATATGAGCTATAAATCGGCAGGTTGTATCTTATCTTTCGGGGCGCATTTGTCCACATCCCTCGGGGCGCTAATGTACTACTCTGGGGCACAAATAGGCTACAGCTGTTATAGTCGTATAGTTGAATGCTAACCTGTATACAGACGTAATAAACTTTACCGTGCTTACTATTCTCTATTAAACCGTTGGATTTTATCTTTGTTTTTTTAATATTTAATGTTAATCAGTACTTCCCATAATGTCGAACGTGAAACCATGGGCAAAAATAATGTAAATATTTTTAGACGAATAGAGGAAACAAATATATCAAATTTGAGTGATAGGAGTCCCACCTGATGTAATGAATGTTGAATTTTGGTCAATTTAGAAACAATGCATAATAAATGTAAAAAGTGACAAAAGGAACTATTGTTAAGTAAGTATTTTATTTTATTTTTACGCTTTGAAATCGTAATATTTTTAAATTTATAATACATTTTTCATACTATTATTAGTTCTAATTATTTTGATTTACAAAACTCATGACAAATACAAAGTATTATATATCTTGAAACAAAAATCAAATCCTTGATCTCCTCTCTATTTCATACAATATTTATAAAAAGAATACTTATTTACATACGAGTATATATTTATAACATAAATAATTTAATTGGTGTTATATAGATCCAATATACACGAACATACAGTACTATTTCATTATATATTCTATGTATATATACTTATATTTATTTTGATAATATTTAAAATTAAAGAAGAACACACACGTAAAAATATAACATAGGTAGGTATCGGAAATTCACTAACTGCCTAAGAATTATTAGGAATCTAATATTCTTAGATTAAAACATTTTATGCTAACATCCACGGATTGAGGAGACATTGGGTCGCCGAAGCTCGATTATCTTGATCCAAATCCAACATAGGCGTTAGGAAAGATGAGAATGCTTTGGCGTCTTTCGGGGTCCATTCGTATTTTTCCGTTAGCACATCGTAAAGGTACCAAGGCTTCAAGTTGCTAATATGTTTCAAATTACCTTAAGGTCGGGAAAAAATTGTATTGTTAACATATAATATTTATCGTTTCCAAGCAGCAGGGCGTATTTTTTTTTGGGGGGGGGGGTTAAAGGGGCCATCCCCCCCCTGAATCCGTATTTAAGGAATCGATCATATGTGGGATAAACATTTCAAATTTTTTTAATGTGGATAATTTTATAACAATACTTAGTGTCCATACCAGGGCACCAAAACGTTGTGATAATGTTATAAGTATAATGTTAAACTAATAAAAAGCGATTGAAATTGATAACAGATAACGAAACAGAAACAAAAAACGATTGAAACATAAAAGAAATTGCCAATGAAAAATATTCATAACTATTAGTTAAATAGATTTGGAACATAGTTATTTTTGTAAAATTGAATTAAATTACTATGTAATCTAAATAAAATATATATATAAATTATGTTTAAAACAACAATAAATGTATCAACTAATAATATATAAATAACCATTACCAATTATAATTTATAAATATGCTTTCTGAAAATACGTCGGATTTTTTCGGCGTTGAACCCGTTTAGCCGGCCTCATCAAAAATAATTTCAGTAAACACCAAGGGTGCTCGCAAGGAGGAGTAGGGAAGATAACACCCCCCAAGCTTTCCAATTATTTAAGATAATTATATCCAAATTAAATATCCCAAAAATCATAATTAGTATCTACGTGTATTAATATTTATAGCTAGTTATATTAAAAAATGTATGAGAATCATTTATCCGGATTATGTATGTTAAGTTTACATAGAAAAAATAATCGAAGAACTTTATTTAGCTGAAAAAGTTTTTGATGAATTTGGGAAAAATAAAATAAAATTGCAATTTGTGTTAAATTAGTTAATAAAAGTGTTTGATTATTAATAAAAATTAGTGCTGTCCCCTCCCCTGAATTTTCATCTGCGGACACCCTTGGTGAGCACCAAGTAGTAATGCACCATACATAAGTTATAAATTGATAATAAATAAATATTTTACGTGTTATGTGCATTTTATTGTTGTTATACAACAAATATGATTGCTTTATTTATACGTTATGAGTTATGAGAATTTCAAAAAGAAAATATCGTTAAAAGCAGGGGTGTATTGGTACGTATATGCGGGTATGTGGCATATACACATAAGCAGATTTTCGATTTTCGGCGAATACCTAAAGTAAAATATTATTTTATGGGTATATGTTTTTAAAATAACTCGAAAAAAAAAATAATATTTTAATAGTTCATTGGAAAAAATTGTTATGAACTATGAAATTGATTGAAATATTTAGCTGTTGAAGATTACAGTAACTACCTACGCTGTGTTTAATGTATTTTGTTAACTGTAGTGAATAACATTGAATAAAATAGTATGGAGTGTGAACATTCAGCTCATGGTTCTTAAATCTGCATCATGCAATTTATAACGAGCTGCAAATGTATATCTTGTGGTGTTATATTTTATAGTCTTTATAGAAGTTATAAACATGTAGTTACAAAGGTTTAATTAAATTTTTTCGAACATATTGAGAGAAAATAATTGTCGAGCAAAGCAAGAAAATTTATTTTAGGATTAATATTCATATTTTTTTAGTGCGTATACCCACAAATATATTTACCAATACACCATTAGTTAAAAGTAATATATAGATAATATAATATATAAAATATGTAATGTTATTTTACATAGTATTGATTGTTAAATACTACATTTGGAAACGTTTCAAATTTTACACTAATTTAAATAATGCAAAACGCTAAATTGTTCATAACATTTTAACTGTCAGTAATGGTAAACGCTTAAATTGAATAACGTTTAAATTATTTATAGTGTTAAACGCTCAATTGCTTATAACGTTTAAATGTCCCATAACGGTAAATAATATATATTATTTTGATTTAAGCCCTGGTCCATACTTAGTGAAAAATTAAATAAAACACTAGCGAAACTTTCAAAATACAGATATGTGTTAAAAATGAACTACACAAAAGTCCATTTTAAGTGGACCGGCATTAGATTAAAAAAAAAACTACAAATATTAAGGATTCACCTGATTTAAATATTACCAAAAATTGTACTTGTAAATTTTGAGCCTGAATTAAAGAAAAAATCTGATTCGTCCCTCCCTAGAAGTAAGTCTAAATACGCCCCTGCTAAGCAGTGAATGTAAAATAATTGATAATAGGTATATTACCGCTGCTTCTAAAAAAATTACTGGAGTGTTTCCCACTTTGGATCACGTACAACGGTATAGGACCTAGAAGCTCGATTATATGGGCTATATGATCTTCATCTTTATTATAAGTAGCCCCGGAATGTGGGTCGAATAAGAAGTCACCGGTAGCCAATTCGAATGCCTGAAAATTAATTACATTTGAGTATTTTAATTTTCAAATATTTACCGGTTTTTAGGTTCTTGATTTAATTTTCAATTAATATTTTCATTGCAAATTATAAATAAATACTTTATTTTTTAACAAACCAGACATGCGGTGCTCCAAATGTCCGCAGGTGTGCCATATCCAGCTCCTAGCAGAACCTCTAAACTTCGGTATTGACGTGTTTGAATGTTTTCTGTGTAATGATTATCCTGCAAAATAAATAACAACCTTTGTACTTTAAGAATAACAAGTCATTTAATTTTTTCTGTTCAGTTAAATTATTTTTTATCATAATTATAAATGGTATCAATCTTATAGCATATATACTATAGTTACCTCCCAGCATGCATTACCGAGATCTGCTATTTTGATATTTACACTCCCCAAGTCGTCCAATAATTCATATAGTTTTTTAAATTTAACAATTTTTCTGTAATAACAATTCGATTCGGCATAACTTTCTGTATAAAAAAATAAAAATTAAACATGGATTTAATAATCATAGTATTTGACCTATTGCATTTGTTGTCCTTAATATTTTGTATAGGTGTGTGCTTTTTTTTTTAATCACAATTGAATGTTTGATATTAAAAATAATACGATCACTTTTAAAATTGTTCTTATGACATAAGTTCCTAATTGGTTTTATTCATAATCGCTACGCAATTTAAACGTTTGTATACTTACCACTTTCCGTGTCCAACGATTGTTCCGATTTAATTCCATCCAATCGGCTACTACCCTGTAATCTTTCATCGGCATAATTTTTTCCGTACTTTCGGTTGCCTAAATGCATAAAAGTTACATTTTGGTTTAATTATGTAGAGAATCCAATGAAATTAAGTTTATTAATAAATAATTACATTAAGTAATTAATAAGTACACTAATCACATTTTTGAGTCGATAAAATTAACTTTTTTAAATACAATATATTAAAATGAACATGGGTAATATTGTTTTATTATGTACAATTACATTTTTAGGTACACCATATAGGTACGTAATGATAAAATATAAGTAGGGTTCAGATAACTACGAAAATACGAATTCGTGATTGGAAAAATTTTATTTATCAAAACTATTTAAAAAAAATAAATAGTTTTATCGAAATCTGATTTTGAAAACCGATGGTCATTTAAAAAAAAGTAAATGCAATTGTACATGCGCAAAATAAAATAATTGTAAATTTGAAATTGATTATAATATGTGTATTATAGTATTCCCTAGCTCCTTGAAAAAATCCATTTCGATCCAAGGTCACGGGACGGAAATATTTCGTATTACCTTTTGAGTGAAATACACTGTATTCTATAAAAATAATAAAGAGTCTATTTTATAAGTACATGTGTGTTAGGGAAAGTTAATTATATACTTATAAATTCTCCTTGTTACTTTTCAGTGCCATTATTAGTAACTACACGATTCACTTAGTAAGAATATATTTCAAAAGAACATATGGCATATATAAAATATATATGTACTCTATGTACTTGTATGTACTCACTTCAGTTGTATGTTTTTGGGATGTGATTAAGAGAATAGTTTTCGACTAAACCGACGTATCTATGTTAGATGTACTATGTACATATTATTCAAAATATGACCCAGATAACTGAGAGTTTATTGTTAACCAAATTGACAATCTGAATGCATGTCATTTACATTTCTTACTTTCTTTCTAAAGTTTGCTGTTATTAATATATTTGTGTTATTTTTTACTTAACGAACATTTTTTTTTTATTAAAAAGCGATCACTGAATACAATGTTAGAGAATTTACAATTAACATTCACATTATAATATACACACACTTACGTAAATTCAATAGAGACATCTGCTTACAACTATTTTCGGCAGTTAGCTTGATGTACTGATGTTGTGCACAAATCAGAATATTTTCAGGCTTGATGTCTGTATGAATAATGTGACAAGTTTCATGAAGATATTTCAATCCTTGTAGCACCTAATGAACAATGTTTATTTATAGTGAATATTTTTTTTAACAGCGTATGACTTATTCATACATACACCACTAAACTCACTTGTCTAATTATATGTTTAACCAAGTATAACGGTATTCCCTGATAATTGGTCCTTTTGATGAGTTTCAATAAATTGGGTCCCAATGCCTCGAATACCATAACCACGTGTATACCTCTCAAACCTTCTATTCGGAAATCGTCAAACAACTGAATAATCTTTGTTCGATTTGTATCCAAATCTCGGTGACGATAGATCTGCATATTATAATACATAATAGCTGGTGTTTACGAGCATATTCTCGCCTTACTATATGAGAGACGATTAACCAATCGAAATTAAAGTGTTGTTGATGATACTTACACTTTTTAACATTCGTATTTCATCCAATGCACTCTCAGTATAGTCGACTGCAGATTTCACGACTTTGAGTGCTGAAAAATTGTGCGCCCTATAAAAGTAGATAAAATTAAATTAAGTACTTATAATTTTTAAAGTAACATCTATAACTGCGTAAATATAATATAATCTAATACAAACTTCATTAATATTGTAAGACAATATAACTTAGAAAGTTAGAGCTTAAAAAAAGTTACAAATTACACAATAGATCTTAGGACATGGGATACAAGGTTTACGTTTACAGTTCATATTTAAAACTCCTTTAGATTATCTGGTAGACAATTCAATACAGATTTAAATATTGTTATTTTGTTATCTACGTAGAGGTACTAAAGTACTAGGTTAGTATTAGGTACTAGTTAATTATACACATATATAATATATAATACATTTTATATCCATGATATTATACAAAAATATATTTTATTTGGATTATATACTCGTAAGAATAATTTCCCTGACATGTATAATTTTATGGTCTAATGATATTCATTACTCGCATATCAAATGCATTTCTTATAATTTTATAGTATTATAGTTGTAATAAATCTAGTATAGACATTATCACCATCATAGGTGTACGCACGGGGGAGAGGTTTACCCGGACACTCCCTGAAATTTTTTAAATGGGGCCCTACTATTCAAGTCTAAGAGCAAAGGGCTCGTATTTCAACTGATGTTGTTCAGATTAAGTGTAATTTATTCTAAAATATTTGATAAAAAATAAATGATGTTTTGTAATTTTTTGTAATAGAAAAAATAAAATAAAATGTTCTAAATGTTCATGCAAAAACTTATTACGATAAGATAATATAACAGCTACAATTCATTACTAAAGTACAAATCATAAATATTAAAGCTATATGAGAAAAATATACAAGATTTAAGGAAAACATATTCATTTGAACTAATATACCAAAATATTAAATTAAACATTTAAGTGATGTTTATTTAATTATTTATACATTATAATTTATTAAATATACCTACACGTTTTGGTAAGAAAGGGCCCAAAATTATGGAAAGCAGCCCCTAAAATATAAGACTGCGCACGCCTATGATCACCACAATTAATTATTCCTTATAATTAAGTATAATTTACTGGGATTATTATACTAAATAAATTCACATTTTTTCCTCACTAAAAAAATCTCTAATAAACAATATTCTTATATATTTGATAATTGTCTTAAATCATATAACCTATAACCAGGTCAAATAACCCAAAATCAATGTGTTTAGATTTAATTGTTAACTGTATTGTAACGTTGTGTGTAGTAATATAAAATTTCTTAAATAATAAATTATTTATTAAACCTAATAACAATACACTAAATAAAATATTTAAATGGTGTTATGTGATAATATCAATATATTAAGACTTATTCAAATATGAAATTATATGTTCATTTGTCTACACTATATAATTGAATACAATTTTTAAATGGAACGTGCGTAATGCATAGGCTGATAGTATATATCTACTCAATAAACTATATGTATAATTCCATGTATTATACGAATATAGTAGAATACTAAAATCCATAAGTATATAGGTATATATGTCAAAAACTGAACTATTATTGAGTGGTGAATTTAAAAATTTGCTTTGGGGGAGGTAATTACATTTTTTTAGTCAAAATCTATAATTCTTTATCAATTCCAAAAATATTTTAAAATTCATAAAGAATATAACTATATTATAATTTAATTACTATCAAATTATGTTTATAACTACTATAAATATTATAAATATAAATTATTAATTTTATAAAACTAAATCTAATTTATTAGGTTTTTGGAAATATATACGTGACCAGGCATTCAATACAAATGTAAAATATAGAATATTGCAAAATATTAGTAAAATAAAACTCTTTACCTCCTCAATTACACCCATGGTAACAATAAGTTCGTAAAAGTTAATAAAATAAATAAGTGGCATTAGTCCATAAAAGCTAAATTTTTTTTTTTGTTATTAAAAAAATATATAATTACGAGTATAATGACAAAAATTACGACTTTCACTTCCAATACATGATTAAAACTTATATTAAACGTATTTTAGTTTAAAAAAGTATTAAGAATTTCAATTCTTGAGTGTTGTTTCATGTGATGAAAAATAATTATAATAAATTAGTTACATTTAATGTAATGTTACCTTATTATTATAATAATAACTCATTTTATTATCAAAATATAATTAATGACTAATTGTCACGAATAATTATAAATTCTGGCTGTTTAAAAACAGTTATTTATACCAACATTTAATTTAATTAATTTGAATTCACAAAAAAAAAAAAACGTTTTGTCAACTAAGTATTTTATATTAGTTGGTAATAAATAATTGTAAAATATATATTTGCTTAATGTTGGTATATTGAATATTTAAAAAAAAAAATGTTACTGGGAAAATTTTAAAACTTATTAAATCGATAGTAAAATAAAATAATTAACAGTACATAGTTTTTACGACCACATATTAATGTTGAATGTAAAAATGGTTTCATATATTTAATCAATAATTAAAATAATGTAGGTATTAATGCATATTGATGGTTGAATGCAAAATAAAATCTATTATTATAAGTATATTTATTATGAATTATTATAGCCTGTTAAATATTAGTTATAACTAATTGAAACACCGAAAATCGGTTTGGTATTTGGGTTTTTTTTTAAATAATTATAACAATGTTGGCATACATAAATATATTGACTTATATACATAGCCTTATGGCATCGCCTATGTTTATATAAGTTTGTTGAACATATAGCAGCAGAAATAACTTTTCCTATTATATATTTTTATTTTGCATGTATATATTATATTATATATATTATAAATATTTGTGTGTAGTTATAAAATTAGTAAGTATATTTTGTCTGAAATATATATTTGTCATGAATGTTTAAAGTCGACTAGACTTTTTGGTCTGTTATGTCTTATCCATATCTAATAAATAAAAAAAAAACAATGAATCCTTGCCATTTTCCAACCACATTCTGTCGTTGAAAAAATTTTACCGAGTTATCAGTATAATATTAGTGCAGATTTTTCTAATGAATGAGGGATTAAATTTCGTTTTTTGTTACTATTATGATTTTCTGGTTATAAATGTACAAACTTGATTCAAGAAGGTGGAAGTGGACAATACTAAAAATCTTCTCCATAAATACGCCACTAACCTTGAACAGACGCTGGCTGTTACAACGTAGGTAAATCCTACGCATATACCTCAATCGTCTTATATATGCATATTCTATTAATAATATACAAATTAAATGTATTGTCTGTCACTATGTACTGCCTATTACTAAAATAATTTTCTTACGAATAAAACCAAATTAAAGTAAGAACAGGGAGCGAAGTATTCAGTTTTCAACCCGGGTGTAGGTATAGTACGACATTTGAAACTTAACATATTTATAGTACGAAAAAAAAAATATATTAAATGAGCACTTCTACTTTTCAATGATCTTTATTCATTTTCTTACTAGATGATATTTGTGAAAGTTATAAAATTCACACCTTTACATATCTGTACAAACATTTTTCACAAAAACTAATTTTTATCTCGAAGTAAAAAATGTTTTCATACAATATTTATATGTATTCATCATAATGGACATCAATGATAGGTACTACTAAACTAGTAAAAACTATAATAGCATGCAATGTCAAATGCTTAAAGTTAGTTTTTGTGATACGTGTTATGATTTTATCATGTTTATCATTCTTAAGTATTTTAATGTAATTGCAGTTTATTGAATTAATCGTTAATGATTTTATAGCATAAATTGTCATGTTTTTATTTATTTTATCTAATCAATGACAGTTAACAAATTAAGTTAATCATAATACAATAATACCTATCATACATTTTTAAGAAAAATGAGCAAGGAGAAGAATTTTAGTTTTCCTTAAAATATTTACGCAAGAATTTAATTACTAATTGCACGTATTATACGAAAGTCAGTGTGTTCCCCCTCAAATATATTTTTGGCTACCGCACTCGTATATCTTTTTTTACTATTTTTCTCCTATACACGACGGTCGCGCATGCGTATGAAATATCTACTATGAGAATGATATTATGAACATCATAAACCATAACAATAATTTATAATACACATTACTAAAAAGACGAAGGGACATTTTCTCCGCAATAGACGTTGTCAATATTGTTTGAAAAATGTATGTATACTGTCGTAAGTTGTATCGATCGTTGGCAAAACAAGAGTTATATTAAATGTTTAGGCATTTAGTAAAATGGAATATTTAACCAATACTATAAAACAATTATACTTGGAATATTTTTTTATTTCGTGTGCTTATGCAACTGTTTTGAACTTATAAATAAGTGTAATTAGGTATGGTAGTATGAGTATAATGAATTAATAAAAAATAATATAAAAACTATTAACAAGTGTAACACAAAAATGTAAAAGTGTAAAACAAATACACTTAATTTATTTATCAGATTGTCCTTTGTCCAGTGTTCATTAAAAATAAGGACATCATACTATAATATACGACGTATCTTTATTTTTCAAAAGTGAAAATCTATGGGTGTTTATTTTTATATTTTTGTATTATGAGTATTTTATTATCAAAGTATTTATACTTAAATAATTTAAGTAAAATTATAATTATTGGAATAACTACAAGTAATAAAAAATGCATTTTAGGGAATTGCAAGCTATGATTTTCTGTCTCTGACCATGATACGTGCAACAAGTAAGCACAAATTATAGGCTATCGTAAATAATATAGAATCTATATTATAGATAACAAAATATAAATACAGCACCTCGTAAAATCGTAGCAAATTATAAAAACTGAAACGTATTGACCGACGGTGGTAAGTCTACTACGATTCCCGGGTGATATGGTTTTGCGAAAATATGGGTAGAATATATTAACTCAGATGCATATGATCATGTATCATTTAAATTATTAAAACTAACAACTATGCAGGTTGCGTATACATACGGTGCGAGTACATAATGTAATAAATAAGCATACGGTCATAACATTCAATACTCACACGTCGTCCCACGAGAGCCACACGGTGGAAAAATGGCCCCAACCCAGTTTCTTTATTATGTGGTAACGACCGTTGATGACAGCTCCTACGCGTACTAGAAAATAGGAGTTCTCTTTATAGTCGAATGGCTCGTCCAAGTCCGAGTCGGATGACTTTAATAAATCCTCTGGATTGTTGTCGGCGATGCTTTTGAATAATTCTGATTCGTGCGGCTCGGATCTGAAAACAATTAATTTAATCGGCTTATTAATATCGAGACTCTTTGTAGGTACCTACAATATTATAATATAATATATTTGTGAAATATAACTATTGTTACGTTACCTAATATATTAATTGTATTATGTATTGAACCATTTATAGAATTTTAAGGGGTGAATGAATGTTAATAGGCAAGTTTGTCGCAACATAATAATTTTCACTGATGTAAGTTCAATGTATTTTTATATTTTCTGTTGTCAGTACCTTCATAGAAAGACTATTACTTCCCAGCTGTAAAGGCCTATTTTTTTTAAATAAGCCATTGTTTCTTGAATTACCTAACGTAATTTACTCAAGTGTCATAATGTATTGTCATAAACGGTAATATTTGTACGGAGTAATTGAATTTATATTGTTTTGTATCTAACTTACAATATTTTATTTGAGTTAAGATGCCTATTACCATTTTTTAGGGCTATTTTTATTTTAAACAATACTTTGATTATTTAATACGAAAGAAATACGATGATAATAAATTTACACGAAAACATGCATAACAAAATATTTAAAATATGTAATGTATAACGTATAAAATACTTTTATCGATATTTACAATCCATACATATATTGTACATGTTAATTTTTAATTGAATTAACAGTTTGATCTAAATGGCGCATAGCTGCGAAACCTGGCATTTACTTGATTAGGTTTGATTTACAAAAGGTTCATTGACCCGTTCCGTTTTAGATGTCTGCTAAGGTTTTCTGGTTGAGTTTTCGTGGCCAACTAGATTTTGATGCGATTGTATTTTAGAATTAAATCTTTAGTTGAATGTTGAAGAAGTTACGTTGATATTTGGAATATTTAGATCATAATGGATTGTCATTTTAATGACAAACCATGGGGCACTGATGTATATTCGGAGGCAAATAGACTAATAAGTTTAGATTGTTCTAATCGAATTATGTCTATGAAATTATAACGTAATGTATAATTTTCTAAAAGAGTTATAATTTCTAGGTGCGTTAATAGTTATTTTAATAACGTAAATCGATTATTTTACTAACTTTTTAAGTAAGTGGTGTATAATAATAAATGAGCGACATCGACATAGCAATTATTCGAACCGGTATGTACAGCTACGTATATTAAGTATATTTAAATACTCGTAATCTACGTATAAACGTGAGTAGTAATTATTATTCAGTAACATTGTGATTATTTACTGAACTTTTTATATTATATAAAATATAATAGGTATTATATTGAAAGTTAATATGTTAAAAAAATTAGGTTAAAGCGTAAAAAAAGATTACTCTCAATATCAATAAGTAAAAAGTAAACTTTGATAAAAATAAAAAAAACAAAACAAAACTTTTTAGTTGTTCAAGTCTCATCTTTGGACTATTTTATATTATTGAGTGTCTGTATAACCGTTTTAAGTAAACAACTACGTACAAACTAGGATGAAAAAATAATTTTGTTTAAGTATAAAATACATAAACACTTATATTCGTATAAAATAGGGCGTCCTAATGTATATTGAACAAACTTCTGTTTAGTAAAATAGCCTTTATTTCAGCTCTATGTCCTGTTGTCTTCAGGGCTGTATTAGCGCATGGACACTATAGGCACTGTGCTTAGGGCCTACGAACATTTGTGGGTAAGATTGTTTTGTAATATTTATTTTTATTTTTTTTTTATTAATATTATAAGTTGATATACTCGTATACTCATACAGTTGGTACGACTATACATGTTTGCACAAGTATAAGAATTTACAGGCAAAAATTACTATAATACTCGTATATTAATTTCTCAATATTTTTTTTTATCGTAATTCGTACATCAACTATTGGGAAAAATTAATTATCTTCTTCGTCGATACTTGCGATTGAAGATGAATTTCTCTAAGAAATCGATACCGAAAAAATAATTGAATCATTTGAAAATAAAAAATTTCGCAATTAAGTTTTGTAACTATAAAGTTATATTAACATAATATATTACACCATTGTTATTCATTTTTTTTTTGTCACAATTATTTTTTGTTTTACATTTAAATACGAGGATTGCAGAACTATTAAAAATGGTATAAAAAGTTGTTTTTTATGGTATTTGATAATTTAAATTTATAGTAAAATTAATCGTTTTTAAAATTTTATTTGTTAAAATTATTATCATATAAAAAATAAAATTTATCATATAAAAGTTAACTTGAATCTTATATTGTAAATATTTTTGTTTTTAAAAGTTTAACACTGAGGGTCAACACATCCTTTGCTAAAGAGGTTTTTTAATTATTTAAATACTGGATATTGCAGGGCTATTAGCACTAAAACCATTGCGCCTTGGGGCTAGGGGCCTAGAGCGTACGACCTACGATAATATTGATCTGGACCTGGTTGTTTTGATAATATTTTAAAATTATATTTTATCTAGTTTTTACAAGTTGATTCCAGTTTTTTTTAATTTTAATGTATCTATTTATACAATAAGTGTTGTTTTATTTTCGGACAAATTACACTTATACTACTGCGGATAAAATACAAAAATATACGAAAATAATATAGGTATATTATGATTTTTAAATATTTCATGTACACATTATTTTAAATCAATACACTTTAGCTATTAAAGCAGTGGTGCCAACCCGCGACTCAAGAAGGTATTTAATGTAACCCGAAACAATTTTTTTAAATAATACAAAATATTAAAAAAAAATTATAAAAGTATTATATATATTTTTTAATTTATTGATTTTATTTTCGAAAATTTTCAGATAGAAATTTCACGATAAAATCCGTGCACTTAAAAGAGCGTACTGATCAAATGAATGTGTACCTCAATCTGTAATCTTTTCAGTAGCTAATAAAATATTTGAAAACAAATTTAATATGTACATACATTTATATTGTACTCCTCACCTACTATGTGTAACAAAATAACATTATTAGATTAATATTGATATTATTTATACTTTTGTATTTGGTGGCCCGCTCTAAGATAATTGTTTACCAAAGTGGCCCAACGAGGAAAAAAGGTTGAACATCACTGTATTAAAGAAATAATACCTACTACATTTTCGCATATAAATCATTGTTCATTTTAAACTTATAATAATCGATTTCTATACCAAAATGGATGTATATTTTTTATGACATAATATCTTATCGAAAGTAGTGTCATATCATGTATGAATTAATATGTAATATTTGAGATATCATTGTATAACAAAAGACAAATAAAAAAAAAAAAATTAAAAATATGTTATATTTATATCAAATCTATAATAATTCAATAATAAAATACTGCGATTACATTTTGTATATTTTATAGGTGCATACTGCAACATTATTATGGCATACAAATTGGATATAATACATACGGTGTCAACATAATTATATGTTAATTTTATAGATGTGCGAAATCGACGTCCAATTATCTAGTGTATTAAACAATGACTCTTGTAGTAAATTAACTTGATATATTTCTGTGTAGGTATATGTGTAATATACATACACCAACGCTGTTTTAATTAAACCATAATGGATAAATGTACATAGTTATACTGTTGTGTATGTATGAGTATAATATAATTGTAGTGTGTATACATAATAGAGAACTGTAATTTTCCATGGACTATTTGTCTATCCGATATCGTAGTTTTGTCAGTTAATTGACTGGAGTTGAAATTCAACCGATTCATCAAATCGATTTTTTAGTTCAAATGTAAGAATTAGGAGTGAACTCAATGGGTTACAGGCCAAAATCGATTGAAGAGACAACACAATTTTTTTATCTGTATATACTTATATTTCAAACCACTTAGAATATTATTAAAAAACCTTACATGTTTAAATTATTTTAAATAAAAAAATATGATTTGTTCCATGTATGTATGAGAATTATTTGAGAACGTTTTAACTGATTTGGTTGATTTTATTTTTTCGCATTTGTAATTGTTTAAACAAGGTTTGTATGAAACAGAATGTTTAAAAAATCTACTGGATAATTCGAAAATTTGTTAGTTTTATTACTATGAATGTTGTTATTATTATCGTTATCGATAAACGACTAACGATAGTTTTGTCTTGTCGTCTTGTCCACTATTGCGTATCGCGATTACGATGTTTGGTACCGGTTGACCGGAATTCTATGACAACAATATTTAAAAATATTTAACCTCTTTTGGACTTATGATGAATGTTACAATCAATGAAAATTTAATAATTTAATATAATTTTATTGTTCAAATAACAAATTGTTTATTGAAGAATTCCACCAATTAAGTTTCGAAATATCGGTCGGCGTATGCGCAACGCAAGTCAACAATACAATCATCGAGACCATGAGACTGACAAAGTTGTAGTCCGCGTTTGGAGACAAATCGAATGAGAATATCTCAAGTTTGATCCATTATGACTCGACTATTCATAAAAATTCAAATGCGATGTGTAATATAAAAATAAAAAAAGTGGAACGGCTGTAGTATTACAAAATAATTTATTTATGATCTGGGATGGATCTAACTTTTGGGTGATGCCATCCAACCTACTGTTGTTTGGTGATTTTCAACAGACATTGCCAATCATCCCTCGCTTTAATTTTATCGAAATTAACGCATGTTTTTATGGCAGAATGTTGAAACACTTCGATCGACCATGAATATGCGAGTACAATAGCAAAATGATCAATGAGCACAAATATTATCATCGAATCTATTTGTATTAGCAAAAGATAGACAAACCAAAAATATTGTGCACCAATTAATACTCAGCTAAATTTAAATTATACATTTAAAAACTGTACTTTAAAATTATAAAACAATTATAAAAAATAACTAAAAACTAATCTGAGCAAAGCTGGATAAATGTAAATCTGAAATATATACTAAAAAACTAAGTTAATTGCGTTCGGTAAGAATGTATACTAATGATTACAGGTCGATAATAATTTATAATACGGGATTGTTTATTTTTATAGTTATGAATTAAGAATCCAAAATTTTATGTTT